TTCCTATCCCCCAATTCCCCAATAAAAATCTTTAAAAAAAAATTTTTTTTTAAGTTTATCTTCAAATGGTCATAATTGTTTGTGTGTTAGTGTCCTGTAACACGTTAAAGGTTCATTAAAGGAAGACTTGAACATATATATCTATATAGAGGTGTCTGGGTGTGTATGTATGTGTGTGTGTCCCTAATGCCCAGAATTGGATAAATTATACTCTTTAGTTCATGGCACAATCTCATCATTGGTCCATGCATGGCAGATATATTTCTGTATGTATGTAGGTATTTTCAGTAATGTCAAAAGCACCCTCTAACTCGCCTTTGCAAACAAAAGCAAAAAAGCAAAGATTACCATCTACAGTAATAAGACATTGACATTATGTGTCCTCTGATAAGATACACTGAGAGAACACATTACATCTCTGATATTTTAAAAAATGCATAAGCTTCATGTAATCATGAGAAAATATCAGACAAATCTAAATTCAAGGATAGTCTACAAAATAAATGGCCAGTCATTTTCAAGTGTCAAGGTCATGAAAAACAACGAAAGCCTCAGAAACTGTCAGAGATTGGAGAAGACAAAGAAGACAAAGTGCTATGTGGGATCCTGGAACATGTTCTAAAATAGAAAAAGGACATTAGTGGAAAAACTGGTCAAATCCAAATGGTTTGTAGTTAAGGGTACTGTACCAGTTTTGTTAGTTTTGATAATTATAGTATGGTTATGCAAGATGTTAACATTACTGGAAGTTGAGTGACGGGTACATGGGAACTCTATATTATTTTTGCAGCTTTTCTATCAGTCTAAAATTATTTCAAAATAAAATTGTACCCAATGACTGCACATCTCATTAAGAATTAAATCCCAGGCTCCATGTGATCTGGTTGCTGGATGTCGCGCTAACCTCATCTCCCACACGTTCCCCACTCTCCTTGCTCTAGCTGCCCTGGTCTCTTTGTCAGCCACAAAAAAAAGCAAACCACCACCCCAGGGCCTTTATATCTGCTATTTATTTGCCTGGAACAGTCTTCTCCTACTTACCTACTGTGCCCATGGCTGCCTCCTATACTTCCTTAAGGAATATGCTTGTACATCACTTTATCACAGAGGCCTTCCCTAATTTCCCTATATAAAATGTCCCCTATCCCCGTCATGCTCTATCTCCCACTGTTTTATTTTTCTTCATAGTAGGTATCACCATCCAACTTACTATATATTTATTTATTGTTGGTCTGCACCATTAAATTGTAACCTCTATGAAAGCAAGGACTTTGTCCATTTTGTTCACTGCTGGACTTCCAGTATGTAGAATAGCAATTGTTTATATAGTAGATGCTCAATAAATCTGATGAACGAATGACTCATCTCAAGCAACAAACCCTCCCATAAGCTTTACTTGGTCCCTATTTACCCCAAACTGCCAGATGCTGTTCTCTTTTCTAATCTCAGGGTATCCTGTGCAGAGCTGTTTACATGAATTTCTCTTTTACTGCAAGTACAATTATAGCACTGTTTCTCAGTAAGTTAAAAAAAAAAAAAAGGTAAAAGGGAAATGTCCCATTATGAAGAACTAAATAATGACACATTAAAAGGAAAATGGAATACCAGTTATTTCACAAAGATAATTACACATTATTTTGTATCAATCTAACTAACTGTTAAAAATATTCATCAGGTTCAAAACTGTTATTAATGAGAATATTCTGAAGAAGTCAATGGGTTTAAACATCTATTCATGGAAGAGTAGTAATTGAACTTAATGTAGGTTAAAAGAGTTTTACAAAGCTCCTATTCCCACTGCCTTAAAAATATAATTCACCTAAGAAATATCTAATTTTTATAACAAATATCAACAATTACTTCAACCTTTTATATAACGGATATTAGAACACTTCAAAATTCTGCTAGAATAATATGAACATCATTCTAATAATCTCTAGATCAGTGGTTCTCAAATATTAGTGTGTATCAGAATTACCGACAGGACTTGTTAAGACACAGGTTGTGGGGTCCGCCATTCAGTAGGTCTGGGTCAGGGACTAAGAATTCACATTTAGAACAAATCCTCAATGATGCTGATATCACTAGTTTAGAGACAGCACTCTGAGAACAGCTTAGGCAATGTTTTTGTGTGATCTGTTCAGTGATATTTAAACTAAAACAATGTAGTAACAGTTAATTAACATATTGCTGCTTTAATGTTTAACAAATTGAGAAGAACCTGAAAACTGCCATGCTCGGGTTCTTATTGTACCTCACCACCTGGCCATATGAGCAGATAGATGTGAGGGGCTGTGATCTTGGCCTGGGAAACTGACTGCTCCAGGTGGATCTGACATACCTGCCTGCTGGCAGTGTTACGAACGAGTTCAACCACTGATCACTTTCAAAACAACAAGGGTTATAGTGCATTAACTACACTGTCCATAACTTACAATGGTATCAAGTAGGAGCAATAGTATTCGCAATGCTCCAGATCCAGGTCAAAAATATGTGATAGCGGCCAGAAGGGGAAAAATATTAAAGTTGCTTTCATGGTATGAAAGTACAAATCACAGAATTAAGTACTAATATGACTGAAACAAGCCAAAGAAAGCAGGATCATGTACAAAATCAGCATAGGGTCATTTATTCTACACAACTTATATAGAATAAGAGGGATAATTATGATGTATATGCATTCGAGCTTTAAAAGTGCTGAAAAGCAACAGCTGACTTAGTAGAGTTAAAGCAGCTTCTGCCTAAGATTTCTTAGAGGAAAGCCAATCCAGAGCTTATGCTAATTAGAAAAGTAAAGACTTTTACAAATAGTAAATCTTAGTAGAAAATGTGTATTTTCTTATAGTAGCTATGGAATTTCACATGGCATAGCATTCATAATTTCAATGTTTAAACTTAAGTATAAGTCTACTGAACCCAAAGCTGAAGAAGAATACAGTGAAGATTAAAATTCTTTGATCCAAGAGTATAATTTAATGTCTTGTTAAATTAGTAACATAAATGAAGCTGGTTTTTATTGATGCCATTTCCTTACTAGCACTTAGGATGCTGGCATTGAAAATAACTCACTGTGGTTTTAGTTAAAAATAAGACCACTATCGTTGTTTGCGTCAACAACTATACCTACTGCCAATCTACTGTATATTGGCAAATACAAAGATTTGAGTTTGCAGAAACACTACACTTCTTTTAGTTCTTTGTGATGCTCAAGGAAACTTCTGAGTTACTGAAGCAAAAGCTTTTCGATCATTTTGTACCTGCTGTGACAGAAAGCTTCAGAAAGAAAAGAATTGCCCAAAGATTGCAATTTCTTGTTATATAACTTACTACTTAACTTAATATGAATCCCTCAGTTTGGCCAGTCAATCAAGATGCAATCCAGAAGTTTAACAGCAGAAATATGATGATTATGGTATATTCCCCTGGCTAAGGAGTGAATTCTCACCCCAAAGTGGGATAATTTCAGGATTCTTTTGCTCTTAAAGATACAGTCCATGCTCCACCAAAGAAAATAATTTAGACTATCTCCCTATAAAGAATGAACCTGGGGAAAGCTCTGGTTGTCATATCAGAAGACTATTCAGAGGACAATTATTTCACTGGAAATGTATGTTGTCTTGGTAATGCCTTCTTTATTAAATACCAATAGCAAGTTACCAAGACAGAAAAAAAGAATAATGAGTTGATAATGTTGAACTAGCCAAATATTAGGTGATTAATGAATTATTTCAAGTGTCAATAACCAGCAGATGACTTAAGAATGGCCTGTAATCACTAACTTAACCTGAAAGTAAATGAACCTGGCATTAAAACACAAAATACGTTAACATTGTCAAATGTGTTACACCCAACAGTCACTGCTGTTGCAAAAACCATACTTACAGCATAATATCATAGAGAAAAAAAGTAGCATTAATGAAAACCAGTTATCAGAAACTAGAGATCACAGGGAATTATTAAAATTCATAACTTCTGTTTGAAATACACTTGGATCTAGAATACTCTCAATAAAGATATCAATGAAAATGTTAATACTGGCCTTGCAGCTAATGACAATCAATGAAGCACCCATTTGATTAACACAACAGCTATGATTCTACAGTTGTTTTAAGTTCAATATTTTTAAAATAAATAAGTGAATTTCTTAATTTTAAAGCAGCAAATAATTTTAAAATTCTGCATAAAGTAACTTAAGAGATAATTATCATGTAAGGTATAAACATTTTATAGACGGAGAAAACTGCAATTTAAGTTATACGCACAATGGTTCAAAAATTCCTATAAAGGGCTAGCTGAGTGGCTCAGTTGGTTAAGAGCTCGCTCAAGAGTGAGAGCTCTGAGCAACAGCAGTTCGATGCCCAGCCCGAGCTGAGCTGCCGCTGAGCTGCCAACAGGTGGCAGGGTGGCTCAGCTAAAATAAATAAATAAATAAATAAATAAAATTTCTATAAAAACAGTACTTTACTGCAGAAAGTGTCCCACACTCTAATTTTCTAACAAGAGATAGTCTGTACAGTGAAGTAATCTATTCATATTTGTGAAAAGGATGTAAAAATCATGTAAAGGAATTGTATGTCTGATTTATCATATTGTAATAGTGTTATGACATACTAGAGAATATAGTTTGTTTTAGGAATACCTTACAATATTCCTTCAAATAAATTACATATATCATAGTGGAATATTTCATACAATGGTGAAGTTAAAAATTTCTTTTGGTGTTAAAAAAAGTAACATGTAAGAGTCTAGAAAAATCTGAAAATTAAAACAACAGTGAATTTTAGAACCAGAACTGTCCATCAGCATATTATGTGAACCTTTACCACCTTAACAGAAGACTGCTGATATCAGTGTCATCAGGTCATCACAAAAACAACCGATTATTACAGGGGAGTCTAAATTTCTGTGGTACAGTAGAGAGTAAACATGTAGTTGGTTCCCTGGCTTTAAAGAAAACTTAACTTCAAACTCAGTATATATTACCAATAAAAGGAGGTTACCTGACTACTAGTTTCACTTATGGCTTCCAGGAGTTTTTCAACTGCTGCTTGTAGTCGAGAGCTAATAGTCAGCATAAGTTCTTCATTTTCAGGATCTATTTCAGTTCCAGCAAAACCACTCCTTACAAGCCGCTGTGACAGCTCCGTTCCTTCCTCAGTTACTTTTGACCACATGCTACCGTCATTTCTTGGCATATCACTTCCAGAATAAGAGGGTAGGGATTCATCTGTAACTACAATAACAGTATTTAAAGGCATAAATCAATTATAGTTAACTAAAGACGGTTACAAAATAAAATCCAATTAAAACTTGAAATCATTGAGGCTACAAAGTCTTTTGATAACACTGCAACAAAATCAATAAAATTGACAAATACAGAACATTATTTCATAACCAAATAGATAAAAATAAGGATGTTATGCTATAGGGCTTTGCAGAAATTAATATTTGGGCTACTGAGCATTTTTTCTTTGATTAAACTTTTAAAATAACTTCCAACAGATATTTAATAAGTACCCACCACATAGGGTTTACTGAGTAATGGAGGCACTTAAATGACAAGATCTGCATCCCAGCCTCAAGGACTTTACATATAGTGTAATGAGAAAACAAACACATAAACCTCCACATGAAAAGTAAAACATTGTGCAGGGGATGGTCCAGGTGTATGAAAGGACAGAAGTACTTGATTTTGTGTGGAGCAGCCCCTCTGATTTCTGACACTACACTGGGCAGCATCACCTGCTCTGGGTGGGAGTAACGGTGACTGAGATCATTTGCAGTTTGCTATTTTTGCAAGAGGTATAGTGGAAAGAGGTAGACTAATGAGCAGTTCTAATGTAACTACGGACTTACGCATCCACATTATTCTTATTTCTTATGTAGAGAAAATTGAGTTTATGTGGGCAGATGGTAAGCTTTGGAAGTGTATGAATTGAAATAAAGGCATAGGTTATTCATTGCTGCCATGAAATACAGTATCCATCCATGGCAGCATCCTACAACCCAACAAGGAAATTTCCTGAACTGGAATTACCTATTCTTTTATTACACGTAGTATATATTTCTTGTTAGTAACTATACAAGTTAACACATTAATAGCACAGGAAACTAATTTTCAAAGCACAAGGAATAAACATTGACTTTGACAGTCAGACAAGAGAAGAAGAGCTATTTATTAAAATCATTTGTAGAAAGGGGAGAGTCAAAACCTTGGAAATGGATACATTTGTTTAGGAGCAGTATTTAGTGAGAAGGAGGACAAAGAAAGTTGGAGCCTCTGTATACATAAGCTAATGAAACCTGCGTAAAAAAATATCAGAGAAGACAGGAGCTATTCCAGGCAAGAAGAGAATGTTGTAAAAAGGTCGAGATTCCAATAATGTTATTTGTCTAAAAAGTCAAATAGGACAGGGACTGAGAAGATGCTATTGGATTTGACAACTGGGAGGTCACTGCTGTCGTCTGAGCGAGCAGCTTTGCTACCATAGGAACAGAAATCAAAGCTGGTGGAGGCACGAGCCAGTCTAATCTCTCATCTAGTCTGTCAACGTTTCCCTTGAGCTGGGGAAGCAAAGATGAGAAAAACCAACATGCGGCTTTTTTTTTCTTTTAGTATTATGAACATATTAGCATGTTCATAGAGAAGGAGTTAATGGTGAGGAAAAGATTGAAGATACTGTGTATTACATGGGAGCAAATCTCAAGCACAAAATACAGAGAATATATAAAACAAAATGGCTCATAAAAGGCCACTGAATGTTAATTTTTTTAAATGGCTAAAGAACAAAATAGATATTAAAGTACCTAGAAAAAAATGAAGATATCAACTAGCTTAATGTATTTTATTAATAACATTTTGAAGATATAAACAAACAAAAATAATCTGAGTATGTTCCAATAAAGAAACAACTTTTTTTGTTTATTCCAATGAAATAAAGGAATAAGAAAGACATCAAATCTGCACTTTATTTATAATAACTAGTTTTGGGAGGGGAATCAGAGAATAACATAAATCGACAGGACAACTTCATAACATGCCAACAGAAATCTCAGAATGGTCAGTTTGGTGTTTAGAATCATGATTTCAGATTGGTGAATCACTTAGGCCTGTGTCTTAAAAATAGCAAATAATGGTTATTCAAAAGTCCTTTAGTTATTTATTTCATGGACCACAGCATGTTCATCCCACATAGATAACAATAAGCTTCTCAGGCTGAAGCAGGGCAGGTGATACAAGAGAGAGCATTCCTGTACCCCAATGGCCTGAAGCTCTCTAGGGCTCCAACTGGAAACCACGGACTCTAGTCTGACTCTCCTGCCCGACAGATGAAAAAACTCAGCCGAGACCCTGGGAGACTATGAGATTTGTTTAAGGTCACAGTTAGCTAGAACAAGAATCAAAGGCCTTCTAATTACTAATCCAGCATTCTTTCTATAACACTGCACTGCTCCCAAAGGAAGCTGTAGAAAATGAGATTCAATCCTTGGCTGCTGAAGAGAGAGGAATGCATTCTACTGGTGAACCACCACAGTGCAGGCCTCAAGGAAATTTTCTTTCAACACATCCTGGGGGACCCATTTTTATTAACTAGTCTAATATTCACTCAAGTTCAAGTGGTTTCACATTGGCTCAAAATGTCCCTTCGATTTCATAAACTAGGTTACTCTTATGAGGAAGCAAACATTAACAAATCAGTTATTTGTTTTTTTAGAGAGTTAACAAGTCCATACATGCTTAAAATCTAAACAAGTTCAGACTTGAAGCTGAAAATAGATTACAAGGGCTATGTACAACACAAAGTCATATATAAAAACTGAAAAGTGGAAGTTGCTTCATAATCAGATTAAGAATGAGCTTTTCCTGTTATATTAAATAAGATAAAACAAAGATTTCAAAAGTTTATTTTAGTTTTTACAATAATGCATCAAGAATATGAAGGAACGTCAGAAAATATTCTTACATATGAAACACAGTGTCACTATTTTAAAGTCAGTATTTTCTTTAAAGTTTGAGAAAATTCCAAGTTTTAAATTATAAATTCTATTAATTCAATATTTCCTTCAAGATGCAATATGGATCTGATAAGTGTTCCCCAAATGATATTAATAGTCATCCTAATTTTATTAGTAAAGCTAGCATACCACTGTTAAACACAAAAACAAAGAGTAGTTAAAAGGTAAGTGCACATTACAATCAATGACACTAATAACAGCAAATTCTCATCTCTGCTACAATATTCTATATACTGTATTACTTAACTGGATTTAATTTTTTCTCTTGTATCTTAATATTGTTCTTTCAGAATCAGTTAAGAGTTAAACAATTAAATTTTAAAGGCTTAATTGATTCAAATATACATAAGGTAGTTTTAAATAAAATATTAAGTATTGTGACTTTATCTTGCCTTGAATTAAAATCTCAGTGCCTACATCACTGGACTGTGAAATGTTATAAAGCACAGAGCACAGAGAAACTGCTCAATAAATGTCTGTAGAACTGAACTGCTTATAACTTCAAAACTACTACTCTATTATTGAGTGTCTTAAAGCAGGACGTAGACATATTTAACTCATAATGGGGAGTTTAGATGTAACCATGCAAGGAAGTAGGAGTAGACCAGATGTCCCTTTAGGTCTGCCTTCTCACAGAAAATGAACATAAAGATAGTCCTCTGTGCTTGCATTAAATTACCAATTTAATCCTTCTTATAACTATGGGGACATCACACTCGAAGTGAGTTTGCTGTCTTTTAAGGTATGTTGTTTGCTGAGCACTTCAGCAACCACTTTGAGAAAGGTCTAAGAGAACTGCTAACAAAAAGGGCACAACATATTTCTGTAATCTACAGAACATTCCTCAGTGTGTTTTGAATATGGTTTAGGTCTTACCATAGACCAGCAACCGTCCCCTGCCCCGGCTGATGGTTAAGTGAAACCAATTTCTGAAATACTTGTTTTTAAAAAAGTATAATTTGATAAACACTCTCACAATGAGACCAAAAAAACTAGTACTTAATTCTTTGATATACATCAAGATTCATATGCAGAAATAAAACAGCCCTTGACTGAGAGCTTAAGGGAGAGTAAAGTTAGTTTGAAAAAACTTCTAACAAAGTTTGAAAAGAATGAATTTGGAAGAAGTTTAAGATATAATATTTCAGGTCCTACTTTAATTAAAAGCAATTTTTAAAATTATCTTTGAACTTGACTGAAGTGTTTTTAAATTCATTTTACTTAAATTTCCAAATCTAGCTTTTTTCTGCACTTAGAAACATGCTACTGGCCAACTTGGAATTAGGCAAACCTTCTGTAAATGGGGTAATTTCTTGTCATTTTTCCACCTGCAACTTAACAAACAGAAAGCTCTCACAAATTGCATAAAGTGGCATTTTTAGGATGCTGGCTTCCAATTGAAAGAAGTGCTTGGGTGTGGAATGGTAGTGAAGTCTGGGTTGGATCTTCTGACACTAGTGCCAGACAGACCCTATCTTTCTCCATCTGACAAAAACTTTCTCCCCTTGTGACTTCCTGATTTCCTCTCCTAAGGATCAAAGCACTGAAAAGACAGGAAACTGGAGTTCAGCAATGTGAAAGTAAGAAATTCAAAGAGCCCAGCCCCCACACAGCTGGAAGAAGACAGTTAGGAAGATGGCTAAGTCAGGTTAAGACCTAATCTCCAGGTCCATACATTCTGTCATGCTTTTCCATTTTTCCAAAAGGAAGAAAGGACCTAGCAGAGGATAGTCCAAAGACAGGTTCAAAACTTGGACTTCTTATAAAAACTTTCTTCTAAGCATCTCAACAGGTATGTGAAACTGATGTCTGAGTATTAAAAGCTCTTTATTTCTAATCTTTCCTTAATTTACAGGGTGGTGCCAGGATGTTGCCTATACCTCGTAGATATTGGTAAGAGTCCTAGTGGTGATATGAAACTTTTATCGGTGGAGAAATTAAATAGCCTCCGGTTTATGTAGCACAGTAGTAACCCTGAGTATATGTAATGACAACTCTAAGACACCCACTTGCAAATGCTGTACAATAATGGTGTTTTGAGAAGAGTGGCTCTAATGTATTTGTGTTTGGAGGTCTTCTGTTGGAAAATGCTTTAATATATTCTCTTCCGTATTTTCAACATATAGCAAACTACTTTAAACTCCAAGATTTATTGAAAATGATGATAGTGTCAACAGCATATAAAACTAGTACCTCCAGTGTGTTCCTCATGGACATGTGACTTTAGAGGTGCCTCTGCCTCTGACCTCCAAATCAGGCTGGAAGATAACTGGCCTTTACTAGATCTATCCAGAATACCAAGGACATGGCGACCAATTGTTTCTTCAACAGCTGCTGTAGTCTTTACGACTTCTAAGAGGATCTTCAGAAGTCTGTTATTAGCTTTTTGGAGTGCATACCTGTAAAGATAAAATAATATTTATGAAAATGTTTAATCTTTTTAAAGTAAACACTTTGCTTATGCCCCACAAAAAAAATGCACAAAATATCTGACTTGAAGATAAAATATCATGTGATCATCTCTGTTAAAATAATATGGAACAGCACCTACACTGAAGTGCTTTTTGTTCTTCATTTATTTTATAAATTTAAAAGTTTCCAGATTAAAAAAAATTTTTAAGGAGATGCAAAAGTTAAGTTTTAAAACGTGTGCCAGTCAGTCCCCATCCCAAGCATATGCAAGTTACTGAACTGGTAATACCATTCTTGGTTCTTCATATATGTTTTACATTTAATTTCTTTGTGTGTCAAACAATATATTTTAAAATATAATTTAAAAATTCCTACAGAAAAAAATGTGCATTTCTATAACTTAATGGCAACGATCTATGTGATTAAATTACAAAACCTGGCAGAGACCTGTTTTTAAAAAGGTCTACTGTGCAATTTCACTATATGCTAATACCAGAGGGAATATCATAGGCCATTGTATCTGATCCAGAGACAGAAACTTCTTAAGTTACATATACCACGCTCATTTCAACCAGTGGAAGGAACCTATTTTGAACAAAATAAAATTAACGGTGTCTCTTTTTTTTAGAAGAGAAATAATACATTCTTATTTTTAAATAATTAGGAAATACTGCTAACCACCCACCAAATATCTCAGCACTCAGAGATAATCACTATTAACATTTTAATGCCTATCCTTCTAGACATCCCCATCTCTCCCATCTCTCTCATAAATATATATATATATATATATATATATATATATATATATATTCTAAAAACAAAAATGGGATTATCACAGACAAAGTATTTTGTAAGCTTTCTTTTTTGCTTAACACAAACATCTTTCCATGTCAAGAAACAGAATTCCACAAATGGTGATTTAGAAAATTATCCGATTAACCTTCTTTCTGAACAACTAAACAACTCTCTTGTCCTAACAGATTAATTCAACAAAGGTACTAACTACAGTGGCACACTTTAATACACACAGACATAAGAAGGGACTTTCATGGTAACGGTCCTCTGCTTTTACAGTTTCCTCTCTGAGTTTCATAGTGTGAGACATCACCAACACCAGGCTTAAGAGTATCTGTTTCACAGGCACATGACATAACTATTTTAAGACAGGGTAATAAATGCAGACGTTTTCCTTCAGTATTTGTCAAGTGAAAGAGGCAGTTCTATTTTTGCACCTAGATCAAGTTCTCTACTTACATAAGGATATTAAAAATAAAACTCTAAATAATTTAGTTAGTAATTGTTAAGTCAAGGGTTTTATTTCTTTAACTTTTCCTGAGATTTTGTTTAAGCCCCAAACACTTCAGGACCAGAATTTGAAAATGTTTCTACATAAAAGAAATGATTAAAATATGATGGTATAAAGAAATAAATGGTTACTAATTTATCAGCACTCACTGTAAAAATTGCTAATAATTCAACACTGTATAATTTAAAAAATATACCTAAGTGAGATAAATCATATAAAATAAACATTGTTTATTTTATATTGCCATGGTAACTCTAATTTTCATACACTGTCTTTCTTGTTTGAGTCCCATATTGACTGTGCTCCATACTGATGATCCAGTGGGGAAGCCAAAATCTTAGGGGCCACATTCCTCCCTGCAAGCTGAGGAAGGGAGGTCAGGAGGACACAGAGGGGCGACAGTCACAGAGATTGGAAAAGGAGGAAATTAAGTTAGTAGTTTTAATTTAAAAGTAAAGACGCTATTTTCATTTAAACAAATTTTAAAATATTGTGCGTAAAGTCCTTAATATTAATGTGGGATAACTGTTCTCATTTAATCTTTTCCATTTTTATACTAACCTCTACAAAATCCAAGTAAAGTTTTGTTAACATAGAATCATCAATTTATTCCTCTATAATACTGAGACATCGATTCACAGTTCTCATCTGTTATGCAGTAAATGCATGAAAGAAGCTACACGTGGACTATCACAGTTAATTTTTTTCTCATCGTAAACAAACTAGGGGGTAGCTTATACTGAATATATGTCTATACAGTGAAGAAATAAAATCATAAGTATAACTGTGTCATAAAATGGCATATGAATAAAAGAAAATTAGTCAAGAAAGGTTCAATAACCAAATAATGCCTTAAGATTTACTAAGTATTTGATTAGTACCTGTTTAAAAATTACTTTATATAAAAATTTTTTTAAATACTTGTTTGTCTATTTAAATGACCAAAAACTGTTAATCTTTACATACACAGTATAATATATAAATAAATGTCAAAGATAAAAATAAGGACGAATACAGTTAATAACACTGAAACAACTATTTTAATTTTGTGCTAAAAAAAATACACATTCTGTATACCTCTCATTGGACAGAATATCAGGAGGCACATCTTCAAGTTTTCTGTCCAATTCCTTTTCTTTGAAGGTCTGTTCCTCAACTTCCCCTTCGTTTTCATTTTCATCCTGTTTAAGTTTGTGTAAAGGTAGAGAGGACAAGACAGAAAGAAAACCTGTCATCTTGGAAAGAGCATGTCATTCATCTATATTGTTACGAGGTGAAACAGAAACCTCGGCATGCAAAATACTGTATGAAATAATATTTAACTACATGTTATCAAGAGATTAGCATTATCAAAAAAAGATAAAAGACTTTAGTGCACACATGAAAAAAATTTTAATGGGTTCAAGCCACTGCATGCTATAGTGCGACAATGAAGTTTGTTAGGTTGCTCCTTGATGAGGAAATAGTTGCTGGCACAGCAATGTTGGATTCAAATTACCTTAATGGAATGTAAGGCATCTTGGCTCCACCTACCTTACATGTAAGCAATCACAAATATTTTAAGCTCAATACCTATAAAATACGTTTCACAATACCAACAAAGACAAACAGATCCTACGGCATTGTTGACGCATTGCTCCTAAGTGGGGCAAAGTCCATACTACCTGTGTTTGCGTACTGCTGTGGCGCAGCTCACAACACAGCTTCTCTCTTCCAGCTAGAGACAGCTGCTTTAGTGCTTCCAGCTCCTCTAAAAGCACCCTCTCTCTCTCTGATACCAGGTTTTCATTATCTATTGAGGATCTCTAAATAAGAAAAAAGGTCATGAGAGAATATTGTTTGTGATAGAAGAAAAAGGCAGAAATATTAAGCATATGTCTTTTAATCCCTTGGGACCAAGAGATCCTAGTCATACTGATGATTCATATCCCAAGATAAGGGGTTAAAAGCATATATAAAGTTCAATGCAAAATCTGAAACAAACAAAAAAGCTAATTAAGCATAAATAATTCAGGTTTTGTGCACCTCAATATTATTTTATATACCAATTTTGCATTGAAAATTCAGAAGTTTAAATTCACAAAATGCGATGAAGAAAAGCAAAATTAATTTTTCCAAATGATTTATGTCAACTCCCGATTTCCCTATTATTCTATATTTGAAAGAACATATTTCAAGAATTCCCTATTTCTTAATTCTCCTTTTAGCTTAAGTTTCCAAAATTAAGTTGAATGCTTTAATGAGAACTTTTACATAAATATTTCTTGCTTTTCTGCAATGATTTTGTGGGTATATTATATACAGCAATTGGTAAGAATCCAGCTCCCAAATACCAAAGAATATGTAAATTTAGTCAAGAAAGGGATAAGAACGTTATGTAAATTTGCATTCCTCAAATCAAGAAGAGATGTTTCCCTGGAGAAAGTTCCAGAAACATACTACTTCAGATTTCCATTGATGATTTAAAAGATAGATTAAAGATAGATAAAGGTAAACCTTGGCGGACTCACAAAAACTATAAATGAATATGGGAAAAGTGAACATCAATTACACATCAGCACAAAAAATTCCCAAAATTATCAATGTTTTTGCCCCGTATGGTCAATGGAATGATTAAAAAACAAAAGAAAACAAAGAACCTTGTAGCCCCTTTCCAGTGCCTATAAAAATAAATAAAATGGTAGGAAGACAATGCCTTCCAATGCTGAGTCAGATTTCCCTAACAAGACCTAAGCTGTTGTGCTGGTGAAGTCTGTTCCTGATGTTAAATATTTGTATTTATTCAGATCTTGGTAATAATTCTGACTTTTTAAAAAGAGTCTATATAAAAAATATTACTATTTTAATTGGGTAGAAAAGGAACTCTAAGGCCCATACCTGGGCTAATTGTCTATTCAGTCTCTTAATCTCCTCTTGTAGCTGTTCCTGGTCTTCTCGCTGTCTCTCCATCTGGCGCATGTGTGCCTGCCTTAACAGCTCTGTTGCCTGTTGATGTTCTTCGTATTGTCGTACAAGTTCCTGCCTCATATCTTCCAACTGTTCTTCATTTAACATTAGCTGTCTAGAAGCATCCATGCTTGACACCAAAATTTCATCATGGATCTATAGTTAAAAAAAAATTCAACCATAACACATTTTGTAGAAATCTGTCAGCATCGATATTTTAAATAAATATGAAAGCAATTCTACTAGTAACCCCACAAAGCACCTAATTTTTTTTATTCCATTATAAATAATTTTAAAAAATATATGTCTTTATTATAATTCCAAATCAAGGTGAAGTTAGTTTATTATCATTATACATGTTATTGTCCAAAAGCAAAATAGCTATGTATCAGTTTAGATGTAATCTAATTTTAAGGGAGGTGAATAATAAAGATACTCAAGATCCCTTTTACTCTTAATGAAGCTAAAATGCCATTATTCCTCTTGACATTTTATGATGGGGAAATAATATAAATGTAATACTTATATTTTAAAATTAAAGTTATGAAACATGAAAAACTTCACCTATTTAATTTATATTATGCAGTAGACATCACAGTACTAGAGAACAGCTTGATAAGAAACAATCTTCAATAAATTTTACTTGGAAATAAAAGTTTTATATTACGCTTTCTCATACTCATAAGAAGTCAACTCCTTAATGGGTTTCTACAAGTACTGTACTTCAATTCCTGAAGAGCTACTACTTAAACGATTCATTCTCCCTTGAATAGTTGCTGGTAAATTAAAGAGGCTTTCATGAATACCTCTCAAGTTTTGCACTATATAAAGAGTTGAAAATTTTATTTGACTATGCCTTCAACAAGACATAACGTATCCTAAACATTAATCAAAATTTGAATTTAGATAATTTAAAAAGAGGCAGAATTGATCATTTTCTGTTAAAGGCACAAACTGCTAAGATACAGACACAGAATTGATCCTTCATTAATAAGTAAAGAAAAAGATTTAGTATATACAGACTAAAATTCTTTAAATTATAATCACTCAAAAAGGTGCTATTTCCTTTAATTATATTAAATTAAGTAAATTACATATTAAATAAGTAAAATACATATTGCTAAATTGTAGTATATTTAATCTTGAACTAAAACAAAAATTAATATAGGTATAACCTAATGACAGGATTGTTACCAGGCATAATGTGTGTAAAACAAATAAGAATACTATGAACTAGGCCTGTTTTATTTAATAATAATATTAAGTCATCTATTCATATGTTACAAGTGATAAAACACATTCATAATGTGAATCATAAGTCAACAATGAATTTGATACTTTCCTTCTCCATTAAGTGACATTACTACTAATATTTTTTAGAGTGAAGGAAGTCACAATTTTCTGTTTTTCTATTTAAAGAGGCATACTTACAGATTCTCTGGCTATACATGTTTTATCTCGGCAGAACAGTTCTTCTGAAATAGTCAGTTCTCGGTCCTCTGATTCCAGTATATCATTAAGATTATCATTATTTGATAACAGAACTTCCTCTCCATCTTCTCCTAACTCTTTGCTAAGTGGTTTAAATTCTTCTTTAAATTTCATGTCTGTTGTCTCAAAAGTCTGAGAATCATCTTGACCCTGTGGTAATTTCACTTCATTTAAATGTTGTTCTTGCTGACAGAGAGCATGTGCTTGTTTCGATGATGTTGCATCTTCTTTTCCCCCAGATATTCTAGACAGTTCAGTTTGTTGAGCAAATGCTACACTCATTGACACAATGACCTAAAGAATAAGGTAAACAAAAAAGGATTAGATTTATAAATACCAGCACGAATTAAAAAGCACTTACCACTCAAAATTACATGAATTGGGAAAAAGCATGGCCTCATGGTTTGAAAACTAAAAGAAATGATAAAGTGATATGAAATTAAAGAGTCTCTATTTTACAATGAATTGAATGTAAAAGTATTTATTTTACTGTCTGCTTTTTTAAAATAAAAAAATAATTACCATGACAGCAATAAATGTTGAGAAATTAGAAAGCAAATAAAAGCCCTTATATTTCTCTCTCTCAATTAAAATCACTATTAACACTTGAGCAAATACTTTTCCAAATCTTTCCATATAGATATGGATAGGAATAAAGATATGCATCTTTCTTAGAAAAACGTCATATTATATATTATAATATGCTTTTTTTTAAAGATTTTTTTTTAATTGGGGAATTGGGGAGATGGGAACAGCGCTGGGGAATTGGGGGAAGGGGAACAGACAAGCTGCTGTCGTTTTGTTCTTCAGTCTAGTTGTGGAGGACGTTGCTTCACTGGCCCAAGTTGGCACCATCATTGCGCTCTTCCCTGG